ATTGGCACAGGACAGAGCAGAGTTTAGGGCTGTTGTACATAGGGTCACTATGAGTCACAGGCGACTCGATGGCACATAACAACAACAACAACAAGGTAATAAAATGTGTTTTTAAGAATAGTTTGAAATTGTAGGACTTTTTTGACACTGATGTTGTTATGTGCCATCAAGTCAACTGTTAATTGAGGTTTTCTGGCATTTGTAGAGGCCTGCCCTTCGAATACATAAGTAATATTAATGTTTGAAAATAGTTTAAGATACCTTGTAATTTGGGTTAATGCTTCACCAACATCACCAATTGCCACTCAGTCAACTCTAACTCCAGGTGATCCCAGCGGGACAGAATTCTATTTAAACTCTACAGAGTTTTCAATGCTGATTCTGTAGATGACCAGTCCTTTTTTCTGATGCGTCTCTGGAAGAACTGAACTCCTCAACTTTCCAGTAGCCAACTGACCTGGGACACCCCTGCCCTGGACTCCAGGTTAATGTTCTCTTATGTCCACCATGACTCAGCAACATTGTGAACAGCCAATCGGAACCTTGTCCTGCACCATTGCCATAATCTTCAGCATTCATGAGCCCATTGCTACCTAACCAATATTTCAGAGGCCAAATATGTCTTTGTGGCCAGAGGTTGTATTTATGAATGAGGAGAAGTTTAACTCAACTAAACTCATTGCCGTTGAGTAGGAACCAACTCATAATTCCTGTGTGTTTTCAGAGTCAGTAAATTACACAGGAGAAGATTGATCCTCTTTCTCTCGCAAAGCAGCTGGCTGATTCAAACCAAGTGCCTTTGGGTTGGTAGAGTGCAACTCTTTACCAACTAGGCCGCCAACACTCCCAAGGAAAAATATGAAATACAAGTCTGCAACACACTTGCATGAACAAATAAGTCCCATTCTGAAATCTGCATCTGCAGCCACACCTGACTAGCAAAACCTTTGGTTTTTTACTGAGGACTCCTGTCAAAGTTCCCTGTGGCCCTGCGCTTCTGTCATTCAAGGGAGAAAAAGAATCTGTCTTCTGAGGGTTTACTTCTCAGCTGTATCACTCTGCTGTTTCATCATGAGGTCTTCCTGCAAGTGCACTGGTACTGAGCCTCAGTCTTTCCAGACTGAGTTTACCCGACACTCAACACCCACCACCCTGTCCCCTCGCTCTCTTGTAGGTCTATTTTTACTCCCTAGAGCACTGCCATCATTACTTAGGCT